ATAATAACACGTATATACAAATGTTATGAAAAGGATTTATTATTTGTAAATTTCATTAACTTTTTTCTCTTATTCTTATATCTATTTTCTACAGCAATATTTTATACTGTTTCCATTAAGCAATTTTGTTTTGCGAAAATAATTGCCACAACCTTTCACAGAACAGGACATTGTGTATGTAACATCGAACATTAATATCGTGTCAAGCATCAGGAGCCGCCATGTTTTCGTTTGGGCGGTCTGATTGGCCCTGAGAGTGACGTCACACTTTGACTGCGCAGTGGGTATCCACGGCGTGAGCATACCCTTATCCTTATACCATGGTCCTGCCGGCAGCAGTACATGATCAGTAGGCTGGTCGGATACTCGTATTCGCCTATCTTTAAACGTTAATATCTCGTTAAATATTGCGTCAACTGCAAAATGGTACAAAACTGTTTTGTTCCCCTTGATCCAATCTATGTCCCCACTGTGTTTCAGTAACATTTTCTGAGACACCCTGTATATATAGGACTGGCGATAATTGGTTTTCTATATACTCTCCATTGACTGGCGATTATACCGAATGTGTTTTCTATTATTCGTCTTGCATGACTTAAACGATAATTGTATATATCTTGTTCTGGTGTAAGTCCACCTCTTCCCGGATACGGACGAAGTAAATATGATTTTAAAGGAAAGGCTTCGTCTCCCACAAGACAATATGGTAAAATAAGTCCTCCTTCCTTAATTGCTGCTGGCTGTGGGATATTTATTCGATCTTCAAATGCTTTTCCTATAGCACTGTCCTTAAAAATATCGCCATCACTTCTTCGGCCATAAGCCCCAATATCCACACAACGGATAATGTAATTTGCGTCGCAAATAGCCATGAGTACTATACTGTGACTTTTTCTAATTAAAAAACGCTGATCCAGCATTATTGGGACACTGAAAATCAGAAGGATTATTTTTAATTGTACTACTTTTTAAGTATATTATATTATACACTAACAATGAATTTACACACTTGAATAATAACGTGCTTGCCATCTATGGCTCCAATATAGTGAATAAAATTCCATTTTTCATTGAAATCATTGGCAATATCTAACCACTCTTTTTCTTCAAGCTGGCTTGGAAGAACCAAAGGGCACAAATAATCTCAAATTGTTTTGCACGTTTCATGTATTATAGTACTCACTGTTGTCACTTCCACAAGATATTGATAGGACATTGAAGTCATCGAATCTCCGGAAGCAAGATATCTACAATATTTTATATAATAATATTCACATACGTATATGCATTAAGTAAAAATGTATAACATTAGGTTTGTTTGTGTCGCATGCTCCAATATACTTCTACTTCAACGTGCTCTAATACGTTTACCTCAAACAAACCTATTGTTTCATATATACACTAAAAAAATACAAAATTTAATTTAGCTGAGCAAAACAAACCTCAAGATTAATGCCAATCATTCTGGTGGTGAAATAGATTGTCGAATAAAGTCATGCCTTTGTAATTTGCTTCCAATCATTCCTAATAATTCCTCCAATTGAGTTGCAGTCATTTCAAAGTAATTGTGGAAGCGTATGTCCTCCAATATCAATTTCGGAAGCGATGTAAAGAAGAAACTGTGTTCGTTATGATTTTCGAAAATCGGAGCTACCCAAAACCTTTTCTTCTTATATCTCTTTCTTTTTTTTTTTTAACAAACACATCGCAGCAACTGCAGCAGCTATACGTCGTCTTCTAATTTGAGCTATGACCGCCACTGTATGTCTATAATATTTTACACACTCGATGTATCGATAATAATACTCCAACTCCATTTTATTCTTGTTGCGATTATGTTAAGCCGTAATCACACTAGCGATTGGCGATTGTGATTGACGATTGAGGATTACTTTTCAATCGGAGCAAAGAAATCGGTGATTTTCAGGCTCTGATTGGTTGAAAAGTAATCCTCAATCGTCAATCACAATCGCCAATCGCTAGTGTGATTACGGCTTTAGGTTATGTACTTAGCAATCATCGCTTTTTAACGCTGGGCTGCGTTCAGGAATTATGCCTAGATAACTCTAGGGTGCATTTTTGCTATAATATACGTAACGTAATCTATAGCTTAGAGGTATCTGGGTGTAATTCCTGAACGCAGCCCTGCTTTGCATTGCGTTGGATTGGGGGTAAAGCTGGAAACACAATAGACACAGGCAATAGGCACAGGCAAC